GGCCGGGATGCACACCCCAGCTCCTCCATCTGTTTCCTGTGTTCTCGTGCTGAAGGCCGTCATGTGCTCGGTGGGCATCGGCGGAAATCAGGGAGAGCAGGCGGGGGGGGGGAGGCGGCTGGGGACACCCCGTTTGCCAAAAAAAGGCGAAAACATGCAGCCTCCCCATCCCCCACACAGCTTTCGTTTTCAAATCTGCTTTAATCTGATTTTTAATCCGCCCAGGGGCCTTTGTCCCTTGGGGCAAGGTCCAGCAATGGCTCCTGACTTGCAAGGTCCCAATCGCTGAATTTTTTATTGCTATTATCTATAAAAATGTTATCTATTCTTTCTCTTGTGTTTTTATCGATAAAGCAATCGATCTATAAATCAATCCTTTCCCTTTCCTTTCCTTCCCTTTCTTTTTTTTTTTCACAATGAAATTTTCTCCCTGAAAACAGTTTTGTTTTGACAGAGAATTGAGCATGAGACACTGGCTAAAAAAAAGTGATGTTTCGCTCTTGAGCAGAATGAAAGTGTGCGGTTTTCACTCGTCTTTCCTTTTTGTGATTTCAAGAAAAACATTGTCTTCTTCCAATTAACCAGCGGAACAGTTTGCCTTCAGAAGCTATTGGGTGCTTAAAGAAGAGACTGGATGGCCACTTGTCTGAAATGGCATAAGGTTTCCTGCCTGAGCAGGGGGTTGGACTAGAAGACCTCCAAGGTCCCTTCCAACTCAGGTTATTCTGTTATTTAAGGCGCATGGAATGAATTACAGAAAGTCACTGGATTCCTTTTGGGATCTTCTTCCAAAACATAAATGACATGGCGTAGTCAGAGGTGGGTCCTGTACGTTCATATCACGTGTCATCTGATGTTTTATCTCGGCTATTTTCTGCACCTGTCAATGCCTTGAACTCTAAAGTAGCCAAATGGGCTGAATAAGTATTTTTTTTAAAAATCTAACCATGGTTAACACCCAGCAAGCATGCCTCATTGTGCAAATAAAATTCCGATGCTTTGGATTGACCTGGGTCAAACAAATAGCATTAGCTCAGCTGCTACCATCTTTGTGTTGGCTTCAGAGTTTCCAGGACCAAGCCGAGAGGACTAGAAACTTGATGTACTACTCCTAAGGGAGAAACTGTGGGTATGCTCTAGGTATCTTGTAGGAAACCTTGAATATGAGCTACCCGTCGCTTGGGAAGGTCCCCTGTGCCACTCAGAGCCTCCGAAGCTGATGGTTTCCTTCAGATTTCTGGAGAAACGGTGTCCTGGCGTGTCACAGCGTGCCACAAGCTTCTTAGCAGGCGGAGGCCTCTTTCATTCTTTGCAAACCTTGTGTGTTTGTGCTCGTTTTGTGAGCCTGCCCCCCCCTTTCTCTCTGCCCCGTTTCCAGTTCTAAGGGTGTGAGGTTCTTCTTTCTCTGAATTGCTGTTTCTTTGAATCAGTTCCTTTTCTCCCCTCCCAAGAAAACATGTGGCCGAAAGTGGTTTTTGAGGTGACACACAGTGCCGGACCAAGAACCCAGAAGCCAGGGCAGAGCTAGACCGAGATGGTTCACTTGTCTGCTCCTTGGGCATGCTCAGGGCAGGGCTGGGCACACATCAGTAACTCCGTAAGCAGCACTGATTTGGCCCCAGGGCGGCTCCTGTGAACGGGCAGAGTGCAGGGAGCTTGTAGTCCTCACCCGTGGGTCCCCTTGCTCGGCAGCCGGCGTGCAGGACTTTGAAAGGAGGCAGAAGGCAGGACTGTGGGAACACTGGGGCTGCCTTCCTCGGTTCCAGCTGAATGTCGGAGCCTGTCCAGGGTTGTGGGTTGGACGCAGGCCAGGAAAACCCAGGAGAAAGTCTCCGTAGAAGCATGAATCTCCAGGTGCTGCTGGACCAGACCCCCAGGATGCCGGTGGGGTACTGGTTGCTCCCAGAGAAAAGGCTGGCTCTAACTTTGTTCAGCTGCTGCCCTTTAGGGTCCCTTCCAATGCTAGGTTGTGGTTCAAACTAGGATTGCTGGAAACCGCCTTTCCTTGGGGAAGCGGGGCCCATAAGTGAGCCTGATTAAAGTCTCTTCTTCGCTTCGGTTTGTCCCCTGGTTCTCTTACTGTCCTGGTCAACCCTGGGATGAGGAGGCTGGCTTCTGAACCGAGCTGTTTGACCAGGGAGGCCTCTGAGCTTTTCCCACAACTTCCAGACAAATCTTTCTGTTGGTCCCGGAAGTTGAATTTGGCTGCTGGCCCACAGAGCATCTCTCCCTGGTCAGCCATGGCTGTTTCTCCTCAGCCGACAGCTGTGGAGATTTTCTCTGCTTCTGGCCAAAGTTCCCTCAGAGTGTGGCCACAATCTTCACGAACGGAGGCAAATCTACGTCTTGCAGGATCCCACCTGAGTTGGTCAGCAGGCTGAAGGTTTATTCCTCCAGGCTTTTGGACTTCTGCTGGAGTCCGTTGGAGGTGGTCTCAGTGTGTGTGGGGGGGTCTTCAGACGGGCTCTCTGAGGATCCCCCTTTCATTGGGGAGCACAGGGCTCCCCCGTCCCTCGGCTTTCCCTTGGGCTGCAAGCCTTCTGGCTGTGGGGTGGCGGGTGGGATGAGGGGCGAGGGAGTCTCACGCATCGGGGGCTGGAGGTGGTTTTATTTTTCAGCTCTGGCGGGGTAAATATTGCAAGGAGCGTCTGCCTAAGAATGAGGCGGACTAGTGAGATCCCCAAGTAAACTGAAAATGGTTAACTTTAGCTCCTCCTTCGCTCTCTGCCCGCTTGTTCGAAAGCCCGGACTGGAAAGAAAATAACGTATGCCTTCTGTGCATTTGTACTCATTGCAACACTTTCATGGGGTTTCCTTCAGTTGCGGTGCTTTTTCCTCTTTGCAAACAGCGAAGGAGCCGGTTCTTCCCTTGCCTGTTCTTTTCTTCTTTTTTCTTTTCAGGCCATTGGGGTGTTTTGGGCTGTTTGTGCACCCAAAGGACGCTCTGTTCTGTTTTGCAGGGCATCTGTTAAGGCTGCACGCTGGACTCTTTATCTCCCCCAACCAAACATCTTTTCAGAGGCTTTGTTGCTCCGGATTCCCTTTTGAGGAGCGTCTGCAAAAGCGGATGGTTCTTCTTGGGCCCAGTGAAAATTTCTTTCCTTCCTTCCTTCTTTTCTTCTCTACTATTTGAGGGCTCCTTTCCCTATTTTTGGTCAATACACCCACTCCCAAATTTTTACGGGTGAGGGTCGAGGAGGGGGCATTTTATACCTCTGAATGAGCCCAGCTGTTTACTTGCAAATAGAAAAAAGTGCACAGGGAAAAGAGCACCAGGAGACTTCTCTCTTCCCTGAGGCATTAGCTTTCTACTTGCAGGGATTAAAGCCGAATCAAAACATTTGGGCGGTATCTGTATTCAGGCGGACCCTGCACTTGTGAAAAAAATGTTCGCGGGGTCCCTGGGAAGAAATGCTTGGTTTGTCTGCTGGGATTCCCCGTTAACTTCCCCTGCAGGCACAGAGCACACAGGACCCCTAAATAGGGCCCCATCCTGTCTGGATTTCATGTCTTTTTTTCCTTCAGGATAAAAGACATTTTTCAGACCAGATTTTCCAGCAAGAAAATTTGCCAAACATGTTGGAAGCCAACAAAGAGAAACAAACTCGGGAGTGTATATAACTTGCAAAATGGAAGAGGCTTCCCTTGCCTTCCACTCTGAGGCTGTTTCCCCTCCCAATGCATTAGCAATCTGGACCCCCCCCATCCATTTTCCCCCAGCTGTTCTCACAGTTGGCTCCAAACTGCAGACCGGCTGTGACTCATGGGCCCACAAAGCCCAGGAGGAGGCAAAACCCGGAACGGACGTTGCCTGACCCAGACAGGGAGCAGAAGTGGCTGAGACCCAAGACAGATGAGGGTGGAATAGGATATTTGAGGAGCCCCCCCCCCTTATGGCTCGAAGGAACTTGACTGCACCCCCTCCCCTTCAGCCCTGCATGGCTGAGTGTCTCGGATTCCACAGGTTATTAATAGATTTGTTTTGCTGCATGATGGACACCCAATGCAGGGGCTGAATTCCCAAAGGGGAAATCGAGGCAGGTTGAGGGGCTGTTGGAAGACTGGAATTTGGGATTTGGCCTTAGATGCCTTCTCGGCCGGATGCCCTGAGAACCTCCCTGATACGCTCAGGCGGCTTTATTGCTCAGATTCCCAGCCTGCCCAGTTTTACCAGTTCAGGCTTGCCTGGCCAGTTCTTAAGCTTGTCCTACGCAGAGGCGAAAGGTGAAAAGTCAGTAAAAGCCGGACCTGCACCCAGAGCACTGAATACCTTGGGAGAAAAAAGAGTGTAAAAACGGCTTTTAACCATCTGCAGTGTGTTCCCCCCCCCCCGAGAGAACGTTGCGTTGACAGGAAAGCTTAGGAAGGTATTTGATGCCGGACGTTGTTGCTCAAGAGCGATTTTTCCAGCCCTGGTTTTAATCCGGGCTTCCCCTCGGCCCTTTCCCTTCCTTCGCTGGCCTTTTGGGGAGCAAGACACAAATCCCCCTCCTCTTTTGGGGGGGAGGGAAGCAGGGATTTGGCCTCCGTTCCTTTAGGGATTTCACAGATGTTGGAATCCAAAAGGTTTCCTGCAGCTTTGACAGGGAGTCGGACTTGCCCCTGCCCCGAGGAGGGAGAGGCGCTGCCAGGATGCAGCCTGGGGGCAGGAGGGGGGCTGCTTGCGTCTCCTGCACCGCTGCCAGCAGCCCTGGCCCACGCTTGCTCCAGAGCCTCTCCCGGAAGTTGGTTTAACGCCCGTGAATCATGCTGCTCCTTGGAGCCAAGAACAGCAGGCCAGGGCTCTCCGTTGTGGGACACCCCCCCAGGCCAGCCAGCCATGGGGCTGGGCCTGCAGATGTCCTGCCTGGAAAATCCATGGCGTGGCTGGATTCCTGCTCCCCGTGAATTCCCTCTGGACCCGCCGCTTCTTCGGTGCTGGGCAATTCAGGGAGTTGAAGCCCACAAATCTTTAAAAAAACCACCATGTTTAATTCTGGCTTGTTCTTCTGTTTTGGCAGAGCTCCAGGCCCAAACTCCAGTCCCCTTGCTTGGCGATCCAAGAGACTCGGGCGTGCACTCGGCTGGAGATGCCCGACCACCTCCACACCTTTGTGGTCAAGGTGAGCAGCTTCCTTCCCCCACGGCTGCATCAGCCCCAAGCAGGGAGGGCTGGTCTTCTCCCCACCTGGGGCTCTGGGACCTTCCTGGATGGCTGTGCCCAGAGGCAGAATTCCTCTCCAGAAAGCAGAGGGGGCTGCTGCCGTGCACGGGGGGGGGCATGAGCTCCAGAAATAGCAGTCGTCATGAGATGGGCCGGGGGGGGGGTCTGTCTGCAACCACCCCAGAGATGCTTTTCCCAAATCAAGTGGCCCTCACCTGCCTGGCTGAAAACAGCCCTCATCTGGCGTGATTCCCAAAGGATCTTGGAGCAGATTTTTCATTTAAGAGAGCGGAAACTTTCTCCTGCAATTAGAGGACACCCCCCCCAAGAGGTCATCCCACCCCCATTTTATCTGGAGAGGGGGCGTGTCTGGTTTTGCCTCTGCAGTGGGATTAATGCCTCACTTCTCCCCCAAACAGGTAAACGCCTCCACCGAGATAATATTCGAGGCTGGAGACGAGCAGCAGCTGGCCGCCTGGATAGTAGAGATTCAGCAGGGCCTCCCCAGGTGAGTCGTGCAGGAAGAAAAGTTTCGGGGGGGGGGGGCTTTTAGAACTTGACTACTGTCAGAATAAACCACATCCATTTATATTTTTGTTCAAGTAAGGTGTTTGGGGTGCCGGGACTTTGCTTTGTGCCTGGGGAATTCTGGGACTTGAAGTCCAGGCATCTGCAAGTGGCTGAGGTTGGGAAACCCTGGCTGAAGGACTGAGAACAATTGTAGCTCAGGGCTGAACTGTGGGGTCCTTGTGCTCTCTGAGCTGGGTGGTTTTTGGTCAGCACTGATAGTGTTACCTAGCTGGGTCATGAAACGTCTGCAAGAAAACCACCAAGCTCAGACAGCACCAAGGACCCCATAGTCCTCCTCCTCCTCCCCTCTGCAAACCCCTCTCCCTCCTAGCACTGATGACGTTCCCTAGTTTGGCCATGAAATGTCTGCAAGGAAAGCGCCAAGGCCAGAGGGCATCCAGAATTCCCCTGGCTTAAGGACTTTGCTCACCTGGCTTTGGGGGTTCCCCAGGAGAGCGTCAGCATTTCTGCTGTGGTGCAACCGTGCCTCCAAGCCAAGCCCTGGGGGATGGGAGCACCTTTAAACCTGCTTTTGCCCGGGTGAGGTCTAGCATTCTCAACTGCTGTGAAACGTCCCCTTCCACCCATCCTTCCTGCTCTCGGCCTGCCGAACCGTCACTGTCCCTCTTTTTCAGATCGGAAGGAGGCCACTTTGAGGGCACCGCAGACCCTCGTTTGGAGACCGGCACCCCCAGCCCTGCCAACAGCAGCACCGACTCCCTGCACCAAGGTGCCTGGCCGTGGGGCATGGCATGGATGGGTGGGTGGGGTGGGGGAGTAGGGGGTAGCATGCAAGGGGCCTGCTATCCGTGATGATCATGGAGTGGGGGGAGCAGGGGGGGAGCGGCCTAGGAAAGAGACCTTGATGGATCTGAAGCCTTCCTTAGCTGAGTTTCATTCTGTTTGTTCAGACGACTGAGAATAAAATGGTGAGGATTAAGCTGGGGGTCTCTTGCCCCGCCAGCTGGTAGGACCTCTTTCGATCCTGAGCAAGGCTTTGCCTATTGCCTGAAATACAAAATGCAAAAATCTCATGTTTCTGCCTGGCTTCTTTCTGTCTCATGTCGGCTGGAGAATTCTGGCCGAGAAACCCAGATATGTAATCGGTTAAAGATATTCGGCCCCAGCTAAAATCCTCCTTTCCTCCACCCCAGGGGCCTTGCTCTCCAGGCCCACTGAGCAGCCGGCCCAGAGGATGGAGCACTACTTGTCCGCCTTCCCCTGGTTCCACGGCCCCATCTCCCGGGTCAAGGCCGCCCAGCTGGTCCAGCTGCAAGGCCTGGACGGACATGGCGTCTTCCTCATCCGGCAGAGTGAAACCCGCCGGGGGGAGTACGTGCTGACCTTCAACTTCCAAGGAAAAGCCAAGGTACGCCTGGGTCCCCCCCCCCCAGAGGGAGGTAGCTCAGACTCAGACAAGCTGGCCCTGGGTGGTGCAGCCCTGGTTGGCCTTCGCGCCTTCTAACCGGTCCTCGTTAGAAGACGCGAAAACAGAACCGGTTTTTTTTTAGAAACACAGGTAGTCCTTGACTTAGCAACAGCTCATTTAGTGACCAGAGTTACAACAGCACTGAAAAAAGGGACTTAGGACCGTTTTTCACACTTACGACCACTGCAGGATCCCCGCAGGCACGTCGTCCAAATTCAGACCCTTGGCAACTGACTCGTATTTATGACGGTCACCGTGTCCCGGGTTCGTGCAATCCACTTTTGCGACCTTTTGACAAACAAAGTCAACGGGGAAACTAAATTCAGTTCACCACTGTGGCAAGAAAGGGGATAAAGCGGGAGAAAACTCCCTTGACCGACATTTCACTTATAAGTCGAGGACTGCCTGTAAGGACTTTTATGCTTCGGGCCAAAAGGGAAGCCGGATGTAGAGTTGCTGAGATAAAGCTTCTAGTCTTCATGGAGGTCTCAAAGCCAGGGAAGCAGGAAGTAGAGAGGGCAAAGGGCTTGTTCCTTCAGTGGGCCGTGCTGGGGGAGGGGGAACTGGGGGGGGGAAGGAAAGGGTGTCAAAGGGTAATGTCTCTTGTGGCTCCTCCGGCAGCATCTGCGGCTTTCCCTGACGGAACGGGGCCAGTGCCGAGTTCAACACCTCCACTTCTCCTCCGTCCTGGACATGCTGCACCACTTCCAGCACTGCCCCATCCCCCTCGAGTGCGGCACGGCCTGCAGCGTCCAGCTCTCCCGGCACGTGGTGGTCGTCCCCCCCCTGCAAGGTAGGAGGCTCCCCTGCTGAATTTCCTCCCCCCCCCCGGGGGCCTCTGGACGCCCGGGCTGGGCTCTCCCTCCGCAGGGGCACCTTGCACTTCAGGGGCCGCTCGGGCTGGCCTGGGCAGTGTCCAGGTTGTCTGAGGCCAAAGCCTCGTTATGAAGGTTAAGGGGCCAGTCCTCCATTTACGACTGCAACAGAGCCCCGCTCAGCGTGATCGTTGACAGTCACGAAGCAGATCAGACCTGATTGCAGGGTCTTTTTTGTGGAGGTGATCAAGCAAACCAATTCTTGCTTTGGGTCAGTTGGCCAAAAGCTGGAAGTAAATACAGGCAGTCCCCGAGTTAATGACCCCAGCTGAGTCCAACAATTCTGTTGCTAAGTGAGACATTTGTTAAGTGTTACCCCGTTTTACAACCGTTTTCTGATTCTGAAGCAAGGGCCCCGGGTGACCTCCCTTTCCCCCTTCTTTCCTCCCTTCTGTCTCCCCTGCAGCCTCCGGACACCCAGCCGCCTTCCCCCCGTCCACCCACACCTGCATGCCAGAGGTCAGCTTCCTCCAGCCGAGTCCCGCCGGCTGTCCCCGGACCCGCCTGGCCGACAGCCTTCGCCGCCACTCCGTGGAGCAGATCTTCCACCTGGTGCCCCCACCCGAAGATCTGGCTGGTGGCCTCCGGCCTGGCCCCAGCAGCGCCTCCCCCGGTCCGGCCCCTTCACCCGCCGGCCGCCGGTGGGACAGTGACTACGAGGTGGAGGTGCAGAGCCGGGGGCACCTCCGGGCAGTCAGCAACCAGTACACCTCCCTCTGACACAGCTGGCGGAGCCCTCCCTCCATGGCTCTCACCCAGGACGCTGGACGGCCCCGCTGGGAACTGTCCTCTTCCAGCTGCATTTAGTATTTGGATGGCAAGGCTGGGCACTGGTTCCCTTTGGGGGGGATGTGACTTTTTCACCAGGATCCTCTTGGCCTGCGTGTCTCCCCATCTCTCATCGGTTTGCACATCTTCCTTTGCATTTGGCTTTTTTTTTTTTGGGTGGTACCCTCAATGCTTGCAGTGGCCCGTTGGGGGGTCTTTACTACCCCAGACGGCCTTGAATAAGAACCGTAATTAAAGGCAAATTCCTCGTTTGGCTGTGGCGACCCAAAGCCAAAGCCAAAGTGTTCAGTTCCAGAACAAAACAAGGCCTCCTTCCTCTCCGTGCTTTGTTTCTTTCCTTCCTTCTCTCCCCTTTCCCTCCCTCGGTCAAATTGTCCTGCTCTGGCTGGGAAGGTGTTTCAGAAGCTGCTCCTCTTCGGCTGCTTTAAAATAACTTTAAACCACCACCAAGGCTGCCTTAAAAACCAGCATCTTAGAAACTCAGGAACCACCCAATTCTGCCCCTTTTTGCAAAAAGCTAGCTGGTCAGTCAGCCATGCATTGGCCTACGACAGAAGCCGAAACTCTAACTTGGGAAAACGTACAACGCCTACAGGGGATGTGCTCGGAATCAAGTGCCAATTTTTTAAAGGACTTTATTTTGGTGCATTATGGGTTTGAATTTTTGTTTCCCTTCTTGGGATGCAAAGGCAGCCCCCTGCCACGGGGGGGGAGGGTTGGGGTGGGCTGTGGCAGCCTGGCCAAAGGAGGTGATGTGGGCCCTCGGTCTATGTGCCCCAGGGCTGTTATAGGAGGGGGAAGTTCCCAGTTCCCACCGTGGGACCGAATGTACCTCGAGGAGGAACTAGGCTGCAAAGCAGCCACCGCAAATCATCGTAATCTAGCTGTCAGCAGGAAGCTGGAAGGAAAAAGGGGAAGTGATAAGCCTGTTAGGGTTGCCATCCCTTAACCAAACAGAGGAAGTTGAATTTGCTCTTTTCTGCAAGAGGTTGGGCTTTTTTCCTCCAGCATTCGAGGCAAGTTCAAACTAGCCATGCCCAGGGAAGGCCAAGAAACACGTGGCCTGGCTCCTTTTTAGCCAATTCGCACGTGCCTTTCACTGGAAGTGCCTTTATCGAATTAGTGGCTCAACCCTGAAGGACTTTGGGCTGGAAAGTCCCAGGAACTCCCAAGGGGGAAGTTTCTAGACCCACCTTTGGCCTGTGATGTCCGCCGAACATCGAGTGGAGAAGCTCCTTGGAGCGTTTAGACACTGTAGCCCAAGGCTGGAGGGTACCCGGTAGGGCGATAGATTGAATTAAGCCTGAAACTAAATTTCACAGCAGTGGCCTTTTTTCAGTGTTAGCCACGTAAAGACACGTGGACTTCAATTCCCGGAATTCTGGGAGTTGAAGTCCACCTATCGTGAAACGACTTAACACTTGAGAAACACAAGTTTTACAGCAATATTTGATTTTTTTCCTATCTGGTGCCTTGTTGCCTCTCTAAAGGATGATATCCAGCAGAGCCTCAAACAGAGGTGAACCAAGCCAGCTTGAGATCTGGGCCACAGCCGCCCTGCCTTCAAATTACCTTGTGCCACCTTACAGGGTTTCAAATTTCGTCCCTTTCCTGGCTCACGAGAGATCATCTTTCAGAGTTTGTGTTTAGGAGAATACACGGAGCTCCAAAGCTTTCTGGACTATTGCAATAAAACCTCTAAAGTCACTTACATGGGGGGGGGGGAGGGAAACAAACAGGGTCCTTGGAGAGAATTGAACCCAGGATTTAATGTGAGTGTCTAACTTGGGACCATTTTTAAGACTTGTGGACTTCAACTCCCAGAATTCCCCAGCCACCACATGCTGGCTGAGGAATTCTGGAAGTTGAAGTCCACAAGGGGCCAAGTTTGGAGACCCCTGATGAAAGAGAATGACCTTTGCACACAAGGGGGCCTGTCCAGTTGTATTCCACACAAGAAGGGATGGGCAGATGGGTCCCGGAGCTGCCTCCTGCAGGTTTGAACCTTGCAATCCAACAGGTTGGCCTCCGCAGAGACAGCAGCCCGCCCGAGGTGGGGTGGGTTCCACAGCTTGGTTCTTTCAAATAATAAATTTGGAAATAATAAAGAAATTCAAATTGCTCTTTTGAGGAAGAAAGTGGTGTTTTTTTTCCCAGCCTCTCCATTCACTTACAGAAGTTCTATATTCAGTTCTCATTCCTACGTGTAACGGGTCAAATCCTGCTAAGATATTCTGATGTGCTCCTTCCTTAAAATAAACTGTTCAGAGATGTTCACAGCTAGTTCTAGGCTCTCTTTAATTCTCCTCCCTACTCCCAGGTGCTCCTGTTAGCCAAATCTTAACAAAAGATGCTTTCTACTAAAGATAAAAGATCAAGGCAGTCACAACTCTTAGGATAGGAAGACCTGGGGCTTCTAGCATTACTAGCTAGGGTGAAAAATCAGTATAAATTTGACCCAGGTTGCTTAGCACATCTTCCTTGTGAGGCTGAAGGCTGAGCCACTCAACCAGGTGCCAAAGTGTTTGGAGAAAGAAAAGAGAAAGGTGGAAAGAAAAAAGGAAAGAGAAAAAGAGAAAAGGGAACCAAATATACCACACAGATGCTAGCAGGAAAGGTCAGTTTTTAAAACTTTTTTTTTTATTTTTATGATTATTTTTTTAGTTTTTATTTTATATTATCTACAAAGTAAGTTTTCCTCTTAACTTAAAAGTTAGACCGCTGCCTTGGGACAGCAGTTCTCTTTCCCCTTCAGACATGATTTTCGTTTTATAAATAATAAATCCATATCCATTTGACCATTAGATTTCTTTCCCCCACAAAGCCTCTTTTAAGTTTAGTTAGTGGTAGAAGGGATTTTTTGTTGTTGTTTAGAGTCTTGATTTACATAATTACTATTTGCTATTATTATTTTTAGTGAGAACAGCAACAAGACTCACCTCTTGTTACTTCGGGTTCTCTAAGCTCATGAATTCGTAACTCTGAAGGGCTGTTTTAAAAAATAAATAGCTTTTCCAGTTTTGTTTTTCTCTTTTTCTGCAAGCGAATTGGGGCCGTTTTAGTTTCTTTGACCCAACGCATGGAATTGTGGAATCGTCCCCCGGAGGGATCGACATGCCTTTGACTCAGTGGTCCAAAAATTCTCTCATCGGAAGGCTGGAAACCATTAGCATTCCTACCAGATGTGACACCTTGGTTTTTTTGTTTTTCGCTCTCGCCTTAAAAATAAGTGAAATACTAAGGGTTTTTTTTTGTTTGTTTGTTTCATTTGCTTTTGTTTTGTTTCTGTGCTTCCAAGTTGGATGAAGCAGGAGAGAAAAAAGAAAGGTATTTGGCCTTTTTAAAAAAACAAAAAAGAAAAGGAAAAAAGAAAAGAGGGATCCAGCCTCAGTTACTCTGCCAGGTCAGCTTTACAACTGCTGTTGATGGTGAGTGGGAACTGCAAGAGAGAAAAACAATAAAATAAAAATAACAAAAAATGTTGAGATATAAATGGGAGGAACAAGCCAAAGCCCATCTGTTTAACCCAGTGTTTCTCTACCTTGGCCTCCTGGAGTTGGGTGGGCTTCAACTCCCAAAAATTCTGGGAGTTGAAGTACCCCCCCCCCCTATTTTAAAGCAGGCTAGCTGGGGAATTCATCTTCAAGAGGCCAAGGTTGAGAAACACGGACTTGGGCCTCCCTTGGTCAACAGCTTGCGTCTCCGGACCCTCTCCCAGTCCAATCCCCCTCCTGTACCCAACTCTTGGTCTACAATCACGAGCCTGATGGAAATCCACCTTCCCAAACCCAACAGGTGCCAACAGAGGGAGCCAGGCCCCTCCTGCAAGAGCCGCATTCTGGACCCGCTTCCAAAGCAGCGATTCAGGCATTGGCCAAGCGAGAGCCGACCTCCTTGCCTCCTTCCCTCCCTCGGGCGCACAACTCCCGCAACCTCCTCCTTTTTGCTCCTGGCCAGGTGTGTGGACGGCGCAGGGCTCACCTGAAGGGTGCGTCATATAGGGGAAGTGTGTGGCTGTGGACACTGGAATGTGCTGCAGTGCACTCTGCGCAAGGGCGGCCTGGGGTCCGCCGGGCGGCGGCTGCGTCGTCATGAGCATCACTGGAGCATGGGTAGGGGGGTGGGAAGGAGCCATGCCTGACTGCACATGGGCCTGGGACAAAGAGCAAGGCCGTCAGGAGACCCCTCCTCTGGGGACCCCCAAAGGCCACCATCGCCTCCCAGGGCTCCTGCTACCTGTCCCGGGTTAAAGAGGAATCTCGGTCGAGACTCGCAAAGGGCTGCTGCCTGCCGATCTGGATTGTGCGAAGGCCGGAGGGTCTCCTCCGTTTCCCTCCCTCCTGTCGGACCCCCGTTTGTGCCAGGACCCTCGGCACAGGGCAGAACGGCTTGCGTGGGCCAAAGCCCTACGACAGACATGCCAGGCAGGTCCCCCAGAAGGGACTGTGGGGCCGGCCGGCTCAGAGCAAGGTGGGTGGAAGCCCCTCTCCCAAGAGCAGCCCAGACGGGGAGGGTCTCGGGCAAGGGCTGGGAGGGGCGGGGCTACCTGGGGCATGTGGGCCATGTGGGGCGGGTTGGTGTAGGCCGGCTGGACGTGGGACGGATGGATGGCGAAGACGGTCGGCTGGGCGGTCGGGAAGCTGCTCTGCGGGGACTGGGCGCTGGAGCCGGGGGTCATGGAGGGCGGCGTGGGGGCCAGGCCGGCGTGGTAGATGGCCGACTGCTGCTGGGCGCTGGTCAGATGGAGGGCCTGGGCCGCCTGGTGCTGGTGGGGCTGCGGAGAGAGGGGCGGGGGGGACACATCACACAGCAGCACGGTGGTAGCCAGACTAAGCTGGTCCTCAGCTTACGACCAACAGGACATCTCCGCTGCTAAGCAAGATGGTGGTGAATTGAGCCACACCCTATTTTACGACCTTTTATTCTGCCGCTTAAGTGAATCACACGGTCATTAAATGAATCTGGCTTCCCCTGTTGATTTTACTCGCCAGGTGGCCACAAATGGGGGTCACGTGACCCCCCCCACCCCCTCCAGGATGTGCAACCGTCATAAATACACTTGTTTTCCACACCTTGTAAAAATGAACAGCCACTAAACACTGGGCAGGCATTCCTCCTTTGAGTCTTCGGCCACCCTCCCCTCTCCCAGGGGAGCCCCTGCCCGTCCCTCTGGGGGGCTGCAGCCCAAAGGGGGGGCTTCCCTTCCACCCCACCTGCTGCTCGGGGGCGGCACTTACCTGCACCGGGCTGGGGGCCGGGTGGCTCCCCCCGTGCTGCGACTGCTGCTGCCCCGTGGGGGTGGCCGAGGGCTGCGGGTGGGGGCTGTGCGGGTGCAGGCCGGCGCTGGGGTGGGCATACTGCTGAGCGAGGGAACCCGTGGAAACTGGGGAGGGGAGACAAAAGGCAGGAGGGATGGGAAAAGGCCCCCCCACTCTTTTCAGGCGGCTGATGGAAGTCTCGGATGCCGCTTTTAAGGAACCGCTTCTCCCCCCTCCCACTTGCCAGTTTGGCCTCCTGCTTCATCTAAAACACAGGGGAGGGGGCTTCCCTGGGGTCTCACCCCTTTGTGCAGAGGGGGACTTCAATGGAAGGGGGAGGCCATCCCTTCGCAGCCCCAAAAAGGGGGCACAATGCCCCAATTCCTCGTCCTCTGAGCTAATGCTCTTCCCTGAAAGACCCTCCTGCTTTTCTTGGGCAGGGGTCCCTAACAGCCCAGCATTTCTCTGCCTCGGCAGCTTGAAGATGGGTGCACCAACTGCCAAAGCCACCCATCTTCCACCTGCCAAGGTCGACAAACTGCCAGCCCGCAGTGCACAAGAGGCCAACTAGAAACACATTTGGAGTTAACTTTCTGGTCTGCTAGACGCCCCTGAAAAAAAAAGGGGAGGTGGGGGCGGCAGAGGGGCAGAGTCCAGGCATCGAGAGGCCCCTGGCATCTCCAAGCTGCGCCTGCCAATGCTTCTGCTTTACAGGGGGCAGAAATGTGATTGGGGGGTAGGAAGGCAGCTCTCTGCACCTGCCCTCCCCAAAGATGACTTCTCAAGGAAGGAGCTGGAGGCTTAATTCTGCACGAGAAGTGAAAAACTGAAAGTCAGCAAAAAGGGAGAAGAAACGGAAGGAAAAGTCGGAAAGTAGCTACTCTGAAGTGGGGGTGTGTGTGTGTGTGGAGACGGAGGAAGGCTAATTGTGGAACAGAAACCGGGGTTTAAGAACAGGGGGAGAGGAGGAAGCAGCCCAGTTCAACTGGGATTCCATAAATGAGCTGGGAGGAACTCTTGACCACAATTCAGGCAGGAGACTGCCAAACCCGGTTAGATGGTAGTCAAGATCTTTGCCTGAAGGGTAGAAAGGCTGTTTTTCTTTCCCAAATAAAGTGGGCAACGACAGCCGCTTTATGACCTGCGGACTTCAACTCCCAGAATCCCCGAGTCATTTTTACCTGCGCTTCTCTGCTAAAGGTTCCTCCGACAGCTTCCTTCCTTCGGCATCTCGGGATATCCTACCAGTTCACTACCCCTCACCAACCAGAGGGAAAATAAAATTCCTTGTGCCTTTGAGGAAAAGTTTGGTGCAAAGAGAGGAGAGGGCCTCTGATCCCCCTTTTACCAACAAGATTCGTGCAATGTGTAACATCAAAGTTAGTACAAAAAAAAAAAAACCCAACTCACTGGCAAAGTAGAAAGAAGGGCCTGTCTCCTTGCTGTAGGGTATTTTGGGACATGCTGGATTTGAGAAATAAAAAGGGAAATTAGCCACATGCCACAAGATTAAAGCACCACTTTCAGGCTTCTGGAAAAGGTTTAACAATCAATTATCGTGGGTGTTTGTTTTTTTTTCATGCACAAACCAATTTGCATTATTTTTTAAAAAAAAGTTAAGAAGTTTCCAACAGGTTATAATTGTCAGTCGGAATTCGTTACTATTAACATGTTTATCATTAAAATCATTTTGCATACGATTAAGACACAACAGGAAAAATAAACAGGATTCAAATGTACTTCGAGCAATTTGCAACCGAGATTATAACACTGATTATGATCCAGGAAACCCAGCCCTTGTTTCCCCCTGGGAAACTCAGCCCCTGGTCGGTTGATCATACTGGATTCCCAGCAGAGAGAAAACCGGTCAGCAGAGAGAGAAAAATCAGATACAGGAAAGCACTAAAGTCAAAAGAAAAATCAAAATACAACTCAGGGTCTGCATGCTCTTTGGAACCAACTGCTCGGTTCTTAGGACTGTAAAACCTGCTGTTGTTCACAGATTTATCTAAATGGTGACT